AAAATTGTTGTGGTTTTCGCGCGAGCATGTACAACAAGATCAGATAACATAGCATTTCCATTGAATATGCGAGTACACACAGAGAACCCATTAATTAGAGACGGAAGTGTCGAGTGTAATAACTTAATCATTGAACAGCAATGTCAGCAGTTTGGGGCGTGGCTGACAAAAGTGAGTTCAGTGCTTCAGACGTCAAGCAGGCAACCGGATGGATGAAATGGAATGAGTTGTGATGGGATGCAAAGGGATGGAATGAGCTGGCCCGGGCTCCTCAAGTTCAACTCGAGCTGGGCGATGAGTGTGCTTCACTTTGGGGCGCTGCTTTTGAAGTTTTGCACACACAGTTATGTCATCACAGCACTAAACTAAAACTGCAACTGCAGCACTTGTTTGGATTAGCCGGAGAGCCGGAGAGCTTGGATAGCCAAGCCGGTCAACTACAAGTATTTGTCCAGCAACTGGCCGGTGACCAACACTTTTAATGGTGGTACTATGGGATTACCGAACGCTGTATTTGTTCACCATTAGTATTTGTTATTATTGTTATTACTATGTATTTGAATTGCTCAAGAAGCGAGCGAGTGACCGATCTGGCAGGCAGCTGTAAAGAAATTAGCCGAACTCTAACTGCCAGACAAATGCACTTTGTTCTAGACGAGCGGAACGTTGGCGTGCCTCTTGCCACTTGGCCAAGTTGAAAGAAAGCCGCCATCGGCCAGACAAACCTTTGCGGCATCATGTTTGCCTCCTCAGAGACGACCAGTAAGCAGTGAGCACTGAGCAGTAGGCAGTGAACAGTAACCAGCCAGCAATGATCAGCGAGCGTACGCGTCATTGTTGTTTACACAATTATTAGGACAACAAGCCGCCGATCGCTGGCAATTGCCGCTGTTTACACGACCGCCACACCACTGACTCTGCTGTCTACACAACAAAAAAATTAGTCCTTAATACTTGTAAAAGAGCAAAAAAGTAAAATGGAGAAAATATTCTTCTGCAATTCAATTCAGAGAGTCATTTTTTAATTAGGCCTTATAGTTTACTTTTGTCAATGTGTTTGAAATGTTGTACTAAGTAATGGTCAGACAGGCAAATAATTTGCACACAAATTTCTGCGCTTCATTGGAGAGTAAATCCCAGTCGAGTTTTTTTGTGGCGGAAAATGAGATTTTAATATGGTTTTAATTGAACAATCTTATATTCAAAAAGTTGTGTGCAACTCGATAAATATGTGTACAAATTATTTGCCTGTTAGACCATAAATTTTCTCTTTTGCTTAAAAAGAAAAAACATGAAGAACACATGTTAGAATAAACAATCTCTGAATTTTTCGTTAAGACATTTTTTCCATTTTTACTGAATTCTTTCTACAGCTAAAATAGTCAATTGCTTGACTTTAAAATTGAAATTTACATTCCAGAGTAATATTCGTCTTTCTTGGGGAATCAATTTTAAGACTTTCGTCAGACAGACACAAGTAATATATCAGGATTTTATAATTTCTTCCAGGCTTCGGTCAGACAAGCAAGTAAAGCTATAAAAGTCAATGTTTAGATACATTCTTATTCTTGCTTTTATATTATGCTCGCACAACCAATTTTAATTTATAATTTTCAGAATTATGAGCTTCCTTCATAAATGCTTCATTCGCTGCATCATAGACGAACTTCATTAATTCTTTCAGTGTACTTAAATAGCGTTCAAGCCTTTAGGCCTTTTGATTTGGACTATGTATGGTTGAGCCGCCAAAGTGTCAACAAGGCTGGTCGGTCAGCACAGTTCTTTAGTTTTTATTTTTTTGGCTGCCCAATTACGGTCATTACGGAGCGCTCGGCTTAGTGGCCGACTGGCTATTGTTATGGCCACGTAATGAGTTGGCAGTTTAGCACCTGCAGTGGACCGCACGTACCGTTCCTTGCTGATCGTTTGCCTGATCGCATGGATCCTGTGTGTTTGCACAATTTGATGAAAGAATAACAGCAGCCGAAATTGAAATCCTCTGGCAAAATATTATTAACTCGCATTGATTTATTTGTACAAATGTAGCTCATAAATTGTTATACCGATGCGGTGCAGCAAACTCACGACAAACTCGGCCCGACTGCCTGACTCTGGCTAATTGTGCATGCTAATGCATGCAATTGTGTCATAATCCTAACCGATGCCGAGAAGCAGTTAAGGGGCAGTATATGCGGACATATGTACTCGTATGTTCGTGTACGTGAAGTTCAGTTTCGAGGACTGTGTGCGCAAATAAAAATTTATAAATTATTAAACATTTGTGGTAATGGAGTCAGCAGCCAGTCTGGCAGCCACGTAGCTAACTGTGGCCAAGTCAGAGGTGCCGGGCAACTGGAACATGACCGATATTGAGCCGCGGTGGCAGCAACAGTTCAGCAGCCAAACAGTTAGCCAGCCAAGCGATCGACAACAACAGCAACAGCAACAAGAACAACAACGACCACTTTGGCGACTTTGGTTCGGCTCGGCGATTAATGCCAATGCACATTAAATGCACATATTTGGCTTTTGTGTGCCACTCGATTGCTTTTTATATATCGTGACGTACGTGTGCTGGCTGTGGCTCGACTGTGATGTCATGTCACAAGGTGATATAACATGGATGCACTTATCAAATAGCAAACAAAACAAACACGATGGGGAAGCAGTTGGAAAGGGGGTGGAATCCTCTTACTTACCGAAAACTGAGCCTTAAGTTCTGCCCCAATATTTGTTTGCATTCGTTTCTTTCTTTTGTTTTTGAAAAAAAAAAAAAAAAAAAAAAAAAACATTGCCACCAAATTTTTGCTAGAAATTCTGCCAAGTTTTAGTTTGAGAAGAGAACTTAACTTTAAGCTGCGTCAATTCATTTATGGCTTAGTCACGTTGGAATAATTTGTTTTATGTTAATGTTGAGCATGGCGCATTGTCAGGAGTCAGAGTCAGAGCCGGAGTCAGAGTCAGAGTCAGGGAACAAGCGCCGTATGCCTTCCAATACAATTCTGAAATGCAACAACGTATGCGACTTTTTCTTTTCTCAATTCGCAATGCTCTTTTGCCTTTGCCCCTCAATGAATTGGAATTTAATTTGAGTATTTTCGCAAATTTCCAAATGCAGTCAAAGCCAAGTACGAGGCGAGTTGGCCAGCATTGTCGTCGTGGTGGTTCAAGACAATTGATGCCTGTCTGCCTGCCTCCTTGCACCTAGCACCGTGCCCCCGCAAATGGCAGGTGCAGTTGTCGCTGGGGTTTTACACATCGGTACTAGTTACTGGGGCTAGAGTACTGCGAGCCAAGTTGTTGCGGAAAATGTGGCCCGCACGCAACAATTTGCTACTGAATTGTTTTGAGAATTGCACCCCAACTTGTTGCTGCTACCAATTGAATGTAAATAGAGAGAAGAATCGCTTAATCGTGAGCTACTCGATTTTTGAATGCCAATGGCCCACAAGGAAAAGGTAGCTGCTACTTCCTTCTATTTTTATTCCATTTTTGTATTCTGTATCAGCTCAGAAGAGGCTGCCGTATATAATAACTCCATTAGTGGCTGGCCTGAGCGCACAAGGTGGTCGATTGCCATCGATACTTCCGTTGACGCCCACTCTTCACTGTGCCAGACAAAAAGAGGATAAAGACGAAAATTTTGATGTGACGTGACGACCGGCGGCAAGTGCAAAAAATGGGCAGCATTTAATTCCGGCGGAAATACAAACAACTACGAGTATACTCGTGAACACACACACACTCACACGCTTGCAGCACTTTAGCCATTTTGCGGCTCAGCTCGGCTTAGTCCGTAATTAGGGTCCCGAATTCGCACGCTCAATTTCAAATTGAGAACTGTTGCAAAGTAAGACATCAATTATTTGAAGAGCTACATATAAGGTGTTGCCCGAGGTCCGACAGGTAGTATTAGGACCCTGCAATTTTTTGCCCTTTTTCTCTGCAATGTGATGTGTGTGTGGCCTGCAATACTGGGAGGCTGCTGCTGACCTTTGACAAATGTACCATGATGGATGGGCTAAGCTGTGTTCCTGAACAAGCGCCAGTTGTGATTAATTGGCGGTACACAATTGAATACAATGTGGGTGAGCAGAAGCACTAGAAAGACAGATCTGTGAGGCAAAGATGTTACACAAAGAACTACTGGTGGGGACCGCGTGATACATGAACAACATGAATAAAGTACAGCAATGGACAAGTATATTTAAATTTCTTTTCCGAATCTTTCCAACTTTTTTATGGCAATTTATGATTTGTTATTGGGTGGGTAGATGAATGGGTGTATATATATGTTACAACTAATTACATTATACAAAATTGCTAGCAATGCTCTGATTCACAGTTAATTGTGGCCAAACAAAATTCATCAAAAAATAACTCAATAAAAATATAATAAAGAAGCAATCATAAGAGTAATTAATTTTACATTAGAAATAAATTTAAAATCTCCAACTCGTTGGAGCAAAAATGTGTAACTTGCTTAGTAATTTATGCCCTGACTCACAACCATATAGTATGAGGTCAGAGATACTCTCGATTGTAGCTGAAAAGAGACGTCTTTAAACGGCAAAAATAAAGATCGATTGAGATTAAGTAAAACTGATTATTTTATTCAGAGCACGCTAACACAAAACGTAATCTATTCTCTGACTAAACAAAAATAATGGTGAAGAAGTTCTATTAATTTATACCAAGGCCACGAATGAAAACATTTCGATTACTGGAAAAATTGTCTAGAAAGTATATTGCAATACAAAAACAAAGCTCCATTTAAATCAGCAATAAAAACATATTAAAAATTAGGATTATGATAAAAAAGGACACTAAAAACTAAACCATTTTGTACTTTCGCGAGAATGTATTTTTAATGATTTTATCAGTTATTATTATAGACGAACTGCCACGCCTCCTTCCTGACTATTAGTCTACTACTAAAACAAACAACGATAAGCGTACTACTTCTTCTTCATCAAGGGCAACGGTTTTTATCAAAGAACTTACATTTAATATTCTTCGCAATGCTTATTTATTTATCTCACTAATTAACAACTTATTACGTGTTTAATTTGGTTTCGCTTTCCATAAAAGCTCTTGAATTATGGTCACAATATTGTGTAGCTCATTCGGGGTCCGACCACGGGGTCGCAGGTTCCCAGGTTAGGGTATTGCTGTTCGATGCAAACTCACTGACCACATGTACTGATCGGCTCCTCGCTATTGTACAGTTACGCTTGATGGGTGTCTTGCCAATCAGGACGCGCTTTGCACTGGCAACCCTATCGGCGCGCACGAACTGGGCGCCCTTTTTAGTTATTACGCACAGATCTATGTTTGAGCCCGAACCTAGGTCGTTCTTGGCGCCCGCATTGATGGCCTCGCGCACCAACTCCTTGCCCTCCTCTAGGCTGAGGTTTTCCCGCCAGCCCCTCTCAAGCTTTGCCAAGGCAGCCAGCGTGCCCGAACCCATGGCACAATATGGTATTTTATCCTCGGACCCATGCGGATAGATGCAGTACAGCTGTGGGCCCCACTTGTCGACACCTCCCAAGACCAGGGCGGCACCAATGTGGCCCTGGAAGCGAAAGAGTGAGCGGCGTATTGACCTGCTGGCGCACACCACTGGAACCTGCCGGTCCGTATTCAATTCATGCAAGTCCAGCTCGGCGGAGGTGAACATGGTCATCCTATCCGTATCCGCCGCAGTGCCTGCGCCACAGCAGCTGAAGAAAGGTGACCAGCTCATTAGAAGGCTCTCCTCTTCTCTGCCCAACACTTACTATATGTGATCCATGAGGCGATGGATCTTAATGCAGTTCTTGTCGGCGACGAGAGAACCACCAGTGGCGCGTGTGTCCGCGCCAAGCACAACAGCATCCGCGCACACAACGCCCACTATGGAGGTGCCCGTTTTATAGGGGCGTGGCAGCTCAAAGCCAGCTTTCTGCAGATCCGCATTGCTGTGACTCAAGTGCTGAAGAAAGTGTTTCCAATCTTTTCAGAATGCTACTTACCGTTTGCAGTTATCGAAGTTAAAAGCACAGCTTTGCGGCAACATCTCGAAAACAAAGTTGAGTTTCACGAAATAGTCTTATTCTGTTCACCACAAATTTACGCGTATTGTACTTTCTATTTGTTCTATGATTATGTAGATGCTATATGTGTTATTTTAGTAAACTTATTATGTTGACTGCAAAGGAAAATGTAGATTTTGATATAATATTATTCAATATACTATTCAAAAAGTGCTCGTTTCAAGAGTATATTCGCAGTGGCAAGGCATGAAGGAAATGATTAGTTTGAAGGAAATATAATAAAATATGATATGATATAACATTATTCAATATATTCAAAAAGTGCTCGTTTTAAGATTATATTCGCAGTGGCAAAGCATGAAGGAAATAATTATTTTAAAGGAAAACTTATTTAAATTATGAATGAAAAGCTACTGAAGAATAATTTAAGCGTCTGCGATCATTACAAATAATTTTATAAATATTATTATTATTATTATTATAAAAGTAGATTCACAATTGCAAATAATGAGTTACTTAAATTAATTAAGCTATGGCAACGAGGGCCTTAAGCCTTTGGGGATGTATTAATTATGTACATTTTAGCTTAGATCTAAGGAAGTAAAAATATTGATGGTGATTATATTAGCTTATATATTTTCGTGGCCTTAAAGAACGCTATTGTTTAATTTTATAAATAAAGAATAGGAATATGTATTTATTTGCAGATTATTCTGAAAACTACTTCTCTTAAACTACTCTTAATGATAAAATAAATATATTTTGGACTGTCAATAAGCTTTTTATATAAGATCCTTTATTTAGCAAGATATGTAAATAAATGGTCTAGATTTGCGAAAAAAAACCCGATAACAGAAGCCGGAAATTATTTAAAAATTTTTTTTTTAAATTTATTTTTCATATAAGATCCTTTATTTAGCTAGATAAGTATGTAAATAAATGGTCTAGATTTGCGAAAAAATAACCCGATAACAGAAGCCGGAAATTATTTCAAATTTTTTTTTTAAATTTATTTTTCATATAAGATCCTTTATTTAGCTAGATAAGTATGTAAATAAATGGTTTAGATTTGCGAAAAATAACCCGATAATAGAAGCCGGAAATTATTTAAAAATTGCAATACGTCTTTTTCTGATAAGATGTGTACTAACTGTAAGCAACTAATACAAGTATCTTCACTCCCTCAGTGTCTCTTATAAATTTAAATGTTTATATAATATAATGCTTACTATATTTAAACAAAACAAAGTCACAGCTGCACTCTTTTGTTTAAACTATACAATTTGTAAACATTATTGCTGCTTTCATTCTGCAGACATTTCGTCATGTCTCCATTGGCCAACCATCACCATCGTCATTATGATGATTACAATTATCATCATCAGCTCATCCAGCTATCGTTTACATTACCATAACGAGCCGCTCAGCTCGCGTTGAGCTCCCGCTGGGCATTCAATCAGTACGGGTACGGGTATACGAGTGTATGCCAACGGTTATGTGAGCTACTTTACTTGTCATAAGTGTCACAATGTGTTTTGATTTACAACAATAACGGCGTCTATTAAACTTCATAATTGTACCAATAACCAAAAAGTAAAACGACAATTGACAAAAATTGAATAAAAAATACAATTTTGCAATCCATATAGCAAGTGGCTGCCTTCAGCGGATCGTCGCTTGGTGCGCCTCATTGGGAAGCCGACGCACGTACGACAAATAAAATGAAGCACAAATACGCCAGCTCGGCTAATGCCGAGATATATAGTAAGAAATCATATGTCTTATTTCGATATTTATGCGTATGGCAGACCATTTTTGGCGACCTAAGCAAATAGGGGCGCGAATGAGCCCGAGTGGCCCAAAGTGGCCCAAAGCGCACACAAACAAAGGCACACACATACTCGTACTGGTATATAGACTACAAGTATACACTGCCTTCTGGTTCGACAATCCATCTAGCCAAGTGGCGGGTTTCGTGGACGTCGCTTGGGTCATTGGCTTGGCGCGCCACTTATGCTGGTTGGCGGCCCAAATCTGGCTCTAAAGTGTTGACCATAAGTGTCTGATTGTTTGTGTATCATAATACAAATACATAAGCTGCGTTCGCGTTCACTGTGCGTAAGTACAGTAGAACCAATTATGGATTTTATAAAACAAATGTGGCGCGCATATTGATGAGGTAGCCGCCTGGCACCCAGTCAGCCATCCAGCCAGCCAACCAACCAGCCAACCAGCCAGCCAGCCAGGCAGGCAGAAGCAGCGTTTATTCATCATTGCTGTATGGCATTTGGTGGCCCATAAATTTCAAAATGATTTACTTTAGTTTCGTGTGGAATTATTTTATGTGTGCCTGCTTGTGGACAGACTGCCTGCCCGTCTGCCCGCCTGCCTCACTCCAATCGTCCGAGTCGGTTGAGCCAACGGAAATGTGATTAAAAGCATATTTTATATATATTTAGTTGTGCGCTGATAAACCAACTTTGCAGCGCTTTATAGGCCTGGAAGTGCGTGCCAGGCATGCAAATGGTTCCGAAGCCTTTGTAGCGCTGCAAAGCCCATAAAGCTCCACAGTATTATGTGGCAGCTTGTTACTGCGATTCGGTCGTGCCACTTTTCGGCTAGAAAAGGAGAACAGACAGAGCAAGAAAGGGCTGAAATAGGATACAAGGTGAATGGGAAAAATATATAAAGGTATAAGTCTAGCCTCAACTCAAAGGCGATAGATCTTTAAAAAATGCTTCAATTCGATGAAGTTAATGTCAGTTAATATCGTTTAATGAAAAATAAAATAATGACTAGTCACATGTTACAAAACTTGCTTCGGGCAAAAAAAATGTATAAGTCTATTCAAAATACTATTTCCTTTAGTGCAAGATTTTGTCTCTGTGTGATGATATTTAAACTTATTTTTAGAGTATTCACTTCATTTTTTTAAAATTATTTTTTAAAACACTGAATTTTATTTAGTGATAATTAATTTCTGAAATTATCGGAAGCTATCAATAAACTTATATATTTTAATGCATTATGTCCATTAAAATTTCCTTGAAGTATGGAACGAAACAATTCTAGGGATCTCTTCTGCTAGAATGTACTCAATTCTTTCATTTTAGTTTAAAAGCCTTCCCTTAATTAATTAATATAAGTAACATTTTTATAGTTTTTAAATAACTCGCATTGCGTTGTTTTGCTCAGATGAAGTGGAATTCTATTTTTATTAATTGCTGACAAAAAACATTTATCAGTAAGGTATAGTGGGAGAAAATAATTCATAATACTACAATAGTTTGTTTTTTAAAACTTTGGAAAACTGAAGTAAGTTATATTAATCACATGATCAGATATTTCATAAATGAGAACATTATGCACAACAGTTTAAACTAAGTTATCAAGTTCATTAAATGTTAGAAAATAATAATATGTAAGTCGTTTAAAAACTCCAAAAAGAGGGTAAATAAATTTTTAAATAAACTTGAAGTACACTTGGAAATAAAATGTTTTACATAACAAAGACAAATAGACGAGGATAAAAAATAGCCAGTTTTGTGTTGGTTTCAAAACTTATTTACAAGCTTATAAACAATTTGCTTTAAACAATAAAAGTTATAGACACAGCACCTCCAGGGACCCCCTGTGGCTGCATTTCAGAGCTCCGTTGTCCTTTCTGCCTCCTTCCTGCTTGTGTCAGTGGTTGCATCAAGCCTGGATGACAGCCATAACTCCTTAGCATTCGCGCAGCAGCAGCCACCGATGACGATAAGCCCAGGCCAGTCCAAGGCTCAAAGCGACCTGAGAGCATAAATTCACATTTGCAGAACGTCAACAGCATGCGGCGCAAAACTGTTGTTATCGCCATCATTTCTGATATTTAGTGGCCGTGTCAACAGCCACACTCGCCACTCCACTTGGTGGTCACGCCAACCACTGTTGTTGTTGTTGTTGCTGGTGTTGAACAAAACGAAACGAAACGAAATTGTAGCAGAGCCGAGGGCGACTGAATTGGAAGCAGCGGAAACTCCCACGGTAGCCGTAGCCGTAGCCGTGGCCGGCGCTGCCAAGTCCAGACTCCAGAGGAGATGGCTATTGAAAAACTTTTGCCAAAGGCCAAATTATAACAACAACAAAATTCTCACACAAACACACACTCTTTAGTGCTGTGGAAAAACAATGAAAACGCGTCTAATTTATTTTGTGGCTTCCTGCTCCACATATGACATAAAGAAATGATAAAATAGATGGCAGTATGTAGAGCCACACGCAAACGTCAAATTAACTCAATTAGAGTCCATCAAAATGTACATCACACCGCAACGATTCACAGGAGCCTCAACGGCGAACACGTAAATTGGTTTTGTAGCTCACAGATACAGATACAGATACAACTATAGCTATCGCTACAATAGATAGATACAGTTGTTAACAGCGCCAACCTACAGCGCTCAAACAGATTGCGCATTATGGCTAAATTATGCATGGATATAAATCAAAGAGCGCAACTTGCAATGCATTCAGTTGTCAGCCAACGCAGCCAATATTGAAAAATTATTATAGAAAATCGAGCAGCAAAAACTAGCTACGATATACGAGTACTCGTACACATGTAGCAGCCAATGACTCACTCAACGAACCACTGTTGTTGTTGTGCATTGTGATTTATCACAAAAAAGTAGTCAAATGGCTTGGCGCAATCGGTGCGCAGAGGCGTTGAAATTGGGCGCAAATCGAATTGTATCTGTAAGATAGATATATGCTCACATATCGATTGGCATTTGGCAGCAACAAATGCAGCGCATATTAACACGATCAATACTTGGAGTGGATGTTGGGCCATAAGTCATCAGGCAGTCGCTTGGCAGCAGGCAGCAGGCAGCAGGCCGTGTCTTTACAGCCGTGTTCCGTTTGAACGACGAACACTAAGCGCTAAACGCTCAGCGCTCAGCACTCAGCGTCGATGGTTGAGCGTTCGCCCGCTTTAATTAACATATGCTAACAAGTTGGTCGCGCCGCACTTTGTCACTTGGAGCTCTGCAGTTCTTGTTGGGGGTGGGCCTAAGTGGTTTTTAAATGAAATCAATTTAAATTTGCTGCAACGTT